TTTTCAATGGGTTGAGATGAAGTAAGGAGGAAAAGAAAATGTAATCAAAAGTCAGTTGTCAAAAGTGGACATTTCATTTGTCCTGTAGTGTCTTTAATCTATTTATGTAGCTAATCATGCAGCCCCAAACTGAAACAAACCCCCCTCAGATCATATTTAATTTTCTCCAGATCTAAGTACAGCATGAGATCTTTAAGCCACAGTGAAGCTTTTGGGGCGCCTGGTGCCTTCCATTTTGTCTCCTCTTTGACGTTGTTTTAACTTAAAACTACGATTTTCTTTTCTTCTGTTTTTTTAAACTCCGAACCCCTGCTCTGTGTCCTTAGGGCTCAGTAAAGTACGCCGATCTCAACGGGGAGCACCCTGAAGGGGGCCGGTTCCACCCGGAGTTGGGCCTGCCGGAGCCGGTGGATTAGTGGATTAGTGGTTCCTCACTTCTTTATCAGGACCTGGTTCTCGGTTTTTAACTGTGCTGTAAATATTGTTGTTCTAAATAAAAGCCTGACTGGTTTTTGACGTTTTAATCCTATAATGCCAAATGTATCATATTTGATACATACTGTTTCTGAAATGTTTTGCGTCTGACTCCTTTTGCATAATTTAATGGTAAAAACTTGGCTCAAAATCCTATTGTACACAATCAGATACACCTGATAACAGGGGGCAGAAGACTACACAAAAAATAATCTGGACTTATCGCATAGTAAGAAATTATTAATATCAAAAATATATTTCTGTTTTTCCTTTTTACATATTTTGTTAAAAGGCCAAATAAGGAATTCAAACAAAAAAAAATTAATTTTCTGTTTTTTTTTCTTCTTGGTTCAGGCTTTAAAGGGTTAACCCTCAACTCATTAAAGTCTCTGCGGCTCAGGTGATCTTCAGACAGATTTTTAAACCAAAATATATTTTTTTAAGGACTAAAAAACATCCAGGTCTTCATGTTTCCAATAACCCTGTGTAAGGAATCCAGGATCCACGTATCAGTCCATTACTGGAGGCATAAAAATGTCTCATAATTGTTTAAACTCCTCTGGCTCCATCTTCTGCTTCTCCTGATATTGCAACCAATTGAGGGAAATTTTAACAATAACTATGTTTATAAAACACGTCAGAGGGTCAGAGGGCATTACATGAGTTTATTAAATGATGGCATCGACTCATTAGATCTGTGATTCTCAGAGAATAAATTCAAATGCAAAATGAGTGAGAGACGCTTATAGATGCAATGCCACTGCTCGCCACTAGAGGGCGACAATGTCTCTAGTTTATTCATGTTTATGCATTTAGCTGACACTTTTATCAGATTTTTACGTGTTATTTATATAGCAAATATATTATATTTATATACATTTTTTTAATAGTTTTTATCTCAAATTTTTCAGTAGAGTTAATAATGTTTTTAAGAGATTAATATAATAACTAGATGAAATACAGTTTTCTGTCTGGAGCTGTTATCTGATCTTGGTGGCAGTGTTTCCTCCTTTTTCAGCAGAGATTTTCATCCAACCATTATTTTGGAGTCCAACCAACCTAACATGCAGGTTTTTGGAGGGTGGGAGGAAGCCGGAGAACCCGGAGAGAACCCACAGACACAGGAG